GAGGTCTGTTGCCTGCGCCGAATGTTTGGCCCTAGAAAGGGGCAGGGCAGGGGCAGCCCCCCAGCCACAAGCCACCCCGACCAATCTGTGGGTTGGGTAGGGTGGGCTGATTTTCCCAGGCCAGCGCAACTTCGGAATTGCCTGTGCAGGCAGACAGTTCAATACAGGCAAACTACTGCTCATCTGTAGACTGCCCGTAGGTGGGCCCCAACTAAGGCACAATGGAAGCTGCCTGTCCGGCCCTCGTTCCCATGCCACTTAATGCAGTCTTTCCCTGTATGACTCCTGCCAGAGCCTCTGTCCCCCTGCTGGCGCCCAGGTTATATGTCCATTGGCGAGAGTCTGTGTACGGGCCCTTTAAAAGAGGCATCTGGGATTTCAGTCTCCTTCCATCTCACCCAGCTGGCCAGAATCCCCACTGATTTTTACAGTCAGATTTTTTTAGGGACTCCTCTACCTTGGGCTGAGGAGCCCCCGTATGGGGCTAGGACCTCTTTTTCCTGGGGAGGGGGAGGCAGTGTGCTCTGCAGCCATGGCCTCACTCCCGGTGCTCCACTACCACTTGCGGGTGCGGGTCCAGCCCGATTTGCGACTTTGCCCCTCCTACTGGCTTCGATGTGGCTCCTTCTTTACATTATCAGATGTATGTGTTATGAGCAGCTGGACTTCAGGTGATTCTCCACGTTATTTTATAATTTGGTTGTAATTTTAATTCAGTCCTAGAGGAGGCGAACCCTGCTTTTACCTAGTCTGCCATCTTGACCCTCTCTCTCTAGAATGCTATTCTTACCCAAATCTTCCACATACCACACTCTTGCTTGCATGGAGACTTCTGCTGTTTATGAGAGTGTCGAACCAGAAAGTGTGAAGACAAGTATTCTGGTCTTGTAAACACCCTTCACTTAGGCCATACCATTTTCTTCTGATCTCCCAGGTTCTTCACAACTCATGTACCAGTCATGTACTGATCTCCCAGAGTTGTGGAAAATGTTGATTAAGGTACTGCACGTGAAGACACTTTGTAAGCCCTAAAGCAGTAGAGCAATGGCATTGATACTGTTTCTATGTGACTTTTACATGAAAAGGAGATGCCTAAGAAGCTAGCGAGTGAAGAACATGATTTGAAACCACTACCGGAAACACCTGGCCCAGAGCCAGCTCAGAAACAGCCGTGTCCACCAGGAAAAGAAATTGCCTCTAGTCAGCAGATGGAGAAGTCAGCAGGTAAGGGGAAACCATTTGGGAACAACAAGTCTGGCCCTCCTAGAGTAGGGGATAGATCCTGGACATGACTGAGTTCAGGCTGGACTGAAGATGTTGCTCAGCATTAGCTGAGCCATTAATACATGACTTCCAGAGTCACAGATTAAGTTGTCATTGATATAAAAACCATATATTCATGGGCAAGCCTTCTGAATTCTCTGAGCTCCAGATTCTTAGTCCATAAAATGGAAATAAAGAATCATAGTTCACAAATTCTTTGAAGGTGCTAAATGAAATGGAGAAGGTTAACGGCATGAAAGGTGCTCAAGTAATTCTATCCATAATAACCTGGGAAAATACCGTACTCAGAGTTGTATCCACAGCCCTCAGCACAATGTCTGACACATAATATGGCCTTAAAAATATATGCTGAAAAAACGTTTTAATGAACGTAGTGGTAAGTAAAGAAGTGTGGAATCTAATCCTGACAGTGGTAGGTGAAAGAACTAAAACTCTTAAGTGGCATTTGGAGTGTACTTGTGCGAGTCTAACATTTCAGCCTCTCTGAGCAGGCAGACGTGGAAGACAAACCATGTGGAAGGCCCATGGGCACTTGGCATAAAGGAGGCAGCTCTTCTGATAAACAGAGACCAACACTCCACAACCCACCCATCCCCCACTGACCAAATCTTTTCCACCACAGGACCCGGGACAGTGAAGAGTAACGTCTGGGCCTACAGGCTGCGGGAAAGAAAGAACAAAGTTGTGTATGAAGAGATCAGTGACCCCGAGGAAGATGAATAACTCTGTGACACTTCAGTCCAAGCTACATCTCTGCAAAACACACTGTTCTTAATGGTACCAGTATCCAATTTTCAGTTTCCCTAAACCATTTCTTTCTCAGACACCTTGGGATGCCACATGGAGACTAAATGATGAGGCTTTCCAGACTCTTTCTACTGTATATCTAGGGATCTTCCCCACCAAGGATGCCCTGGGCTCCCAAACATACTCGGCTCCCGATGTATAGGCTACACCTTCTGCTAGCCTAGGAACTCATAGGACAGGTGAGGGAGTCTCTCTGACATGAGCAGAAGTTTTGCCTTGAGAAGCAGTGGGAAGTGCATCCAGATCGTGAGGTAGAGCAGAATCAGGGCCCTGCAAGTCAGCATGAGGGCCTGGGTATTGTTGGATCTGGCTATGAGAGCTCGCTGCCATTTATTTTCCTTCTCTCTCCTTGCCTTTACCTCAGGGATATGACAAGTGCCCATGATAAAAAGCAGAACCTAGTGGCCTTTCATGGACATGGGCCCGGCCGTGAACTCTTGGCCATAAGGTGGACAGCAAGTGAAAGAGTTTACATCAGTGAAAAGTTAAGCACAATGGTTCTTACTAGGTGCCTAACATTCCACTAGATGCTAGCACTTTATTAACACATATAATGAAGGCATAATATTTGTCTGTGTGTCCATGCACTTAACCTCAGGAAACAAGTGTTGTAAGGTATCTCTGCACAGAAGAGCACTACCCTTCCCTCCCCAGATGTGACTCCTGAGGGCAGTTTCTGGGGGTTTGATTCAAACTTTTTCTCTACATTTTTGAAAAAACACACCGGCTACCACTATGAGCTTGTCCCACTTATTATTCCCCAGTAACAGCATGTCCTGGGGATTTCCCCCTTATTCCATTCTCTGTTCAGCAGTTGCTCCATGCTGCAAACCCCCATTATTCATATACTGCATTTCACTGACAGTTAATAAACAAAAGTTTTTCTCAATTGTTGGCTCCATCAGTCTTGTGCACACAACCCTGTGCACATGTGCAAGTGTTTTCTTGGCACACATTCCTAGAAGTGGAATTGCTGTATCAAAGGGCTCATTCATTCAAAAAACACCTAGTAGGTGTATACTGTGTTCTAAGGCTGTTCCTAGTCCTGGAGAGACATCATGGATAAGACATGCCTATGTGGACCACATATTCAGTGGGACATATTTCCACTGGAGGTGTTAAGACACTTTGGACTTTGCCCTCTGTCAGATCTTCAGGGTTAATGGCTGGGATAGTCCACTGGGGAGTGTGGAGAGGAGACAGAGATAAAGCGTTCAACTGGGGATCATGGAAAAATAGGAGGAGAGCAGGCCATGTGGGGTACCTCGTGGACAGGATTGGAAGTATCTACTTAGCCTTGATGCAGGGTAGCAACAGATGTAAATGTCTACTTGACAAAGGTAGTGAACTGTCTATCCATGGTCTCATGACAAAGGGCTCGGGGCAAGGGTGGAGATGAGAGTTAAGAATGGGACAGTCCTCTGCCAGATGTACCTTTGCTGGCCACAGACATGGAACAGTCAGCTCTGGGGAAAGGCAGTGAGGAGTCTATTTAAACAAAACATTGTGGGTGTTGGAGGACATTGAAGCTGCCAACCAGGTCACCAAGGTGACATGCGTGGAACTTCAAACACCAACCTCAAATGGAGGCAAGATTGCATTGTTGGAACCATCCATTGTCCATCACCTGACTTCCATCCAAACTTGCAAGATGTCCATACTCTTGATGAGGCTGCTGTCTCCCCTACTTCTGCCTTCAGCCTACCTGTGGACTTTCCCCTGGTGCACACAGATTTGGTTCAGAGGTGGGGAGGAACTGTAAACCAGCAGGTGATTGGCTCCTGGAGGAGAAGGGTGGGATTCAAGTCTCTCCTTCAGCTCTGACTGGTCACTGTGACTCCAGGCTGGCACCCAGGTTGCTAGACCAGAGCTGGGTCTGCTTCCTCCCACCCACACACTAAGATAGCTGCAGAATCACAGGATCACTGTTCACACAGCAGTCCTAGGGCCACTGGACCTAGGTCTGCTAAGGCCCTTGTGGATGGGAAACCCAGACCAAGAGGACCTTGTTCTGGGAGACTGAGAAAAGCCTCAGAGTATTGCTGCTCTGTAACCTCTAGACCTGAGGATTACTGTGGGCCATGATAGATGTATGGGGGAGGAGGAATGGCCAAGGTGTAGACACACGCGGCCGAGTCCATAAACCTCTGTCAGCATATCTCCTGAGGCACAGTCTTCCTCACAGGGATTAGTATCCCTGCACAGCCAGCTTCCATGGGCTGCATACCGAGGGAAACCCCAGTTTACCTGCTCCTCTGAGAATAATAATGTCTTGTCACTTGAGATCACGCCTCTGTGTGGGAGTGAGTTTCCAGGCCAGGAGTCCGCATTCCAGGCCAGGACTAAAATCTTCACAAATTGGGGGGGGGTCTGTTTTACCAGGAATTTTTCCTCTCAGCCCACCTTCCCTAATAACCATAGAAAGCATAGTTAATATTCATCTTGTGTTTGCAAAGTTCCTGGACTGATGATAAATATCTCCTATGGATTCTCTTCACAACTGACCTCTGAGCATGGATACTTTCATCTTTATGATAATATGATGTTACATAGCATTATAGATGAGAGACGAGAAGACAGACAGATGTCAAAATTCTTTTCAGAGTTCCTACAACTGACATGTGCAGGAAGCGCTGGGTTTGTGACTCGTGGTGTATTCAGACACATTGAAGAGGACAGGTATTGGTGTGGAAACTGGAATGAGCTTTGCATTCTACCCCATATCTCAGGGTAGAGGATGTGGAGTCATTTTTCCAAGACTTAGAACCCCCAAAGGTGTTAGATTTCCCAACATGGATGTGTTCACCAACCTGGTAATTCCGTTTCCAGCCCCTCCCCCTTCTCTGGAGAATGGAGGATGGAGCTTAAAGTTCCAAGCTTCTGATCATGGCTTGGTCCTTCTGTAAACAGCTCCCATCTAGGAGCCATCCACGAGCCACCCAGAGTTGCCTCATTAGAACAAAAGATACCTATAGTGCTCTTATCACTTAGGAAATTGCAAGTTTTAGGAGCTCTGTGTCAGGAACTGGGGGAAAAGACTAAAACATGTATTTTCTGTTCTTTCACACCAGGGTTCATTCTCTTGGTGGGGAGGGATGTGGGCTCAGAGCAGACTGGGTTATGCTGAAATGACAGACAACCACAGTTTATTTCTCACTTATGCTACTTGTCCATCTCAGGTAGACTGGAGCTCTTCTCCACATTATCAACACCCTCATGCCAGAACCCAGAGACACAGAACAGCCACATGGATGGCCTGTAAGAGAGAACAGAGTGTGGCTAAGCATGAACTGGCTTATCGAATAGCCAAGTCTGACCTTCACAAGGGTGAAAGAGTGCAGTTCCTGCAGGAAGAGAGAGCTAGGATATTTGTGAACATTCTAAAATGAGCCACAAGGAAAGTGTGGCATCATAAAACAATCTGGTGTGGGAGAACTGCCAACCCCAGTGGTTCTCAACAGGGAAAGGGAGTTTGCATTTTACCCGCCAGGTAACAATCAACAATATCTGGAGACATTTTGGTTGTCTTAACCTGAGGGGGTTAGGTTACTGTGATCTAGTAGATACAGGTAAAGGGTACTGCTAAACCTTTTACAATACACAGGACAGCACTCCCCTTCCCCCCCCAAAAAAGAGAATTCTTAAACTCAAAATGTCAATAGTGCCAAAACTGAAACCCCTGGCTAAAGAAATGGTACTTAAATGAAGAGACGTTAGGCATCAGACAAGAGACCTCAGTGAGGGTAGGCAAGTGGAAGGATGGTATAGTTTCTAAGTCAGTCAGTTTATCACAAGGCACTTATGAAGCCTTGACTGTGTACAGAGCTCTATGGGAAAGGCAGGCAAGGTGAGAGACTGGGTTCCTATAGTCATCTTTTCTTATTAAAATTATTGGGTGACATTGATTAATAAAATCAAATAGGTTTCAAGTGTACAATTCAATACTACGTGATACGTATATTGCATTGTGTGTTAACCACCTAGTTAAATTTCCTTCTGTCACCAAATATTTGACCCTCTCTACCCCTACCTACCTCCTCCCTCCCCCTTTTCCTTCTGGTAACCACTAACTCACTGTCCGTGTCCACGAGTCTCTGCTCGTTTGTCATGTTTGTTTGTTGCTTTCAGTTTTATATCCCACATATGAGTAAAATCGTATGGTTATCAACTTTTCTGACGTATTTCACTTAGCATAATAACGTCAAGATCCATCCATGTTATCATAAATGGCGGTATTTCCTCTTTTCTCATGGCTGAATAATATTCCATTGTATATATGTACCACATCTTTATCCTGTAGTCATTTTAAGAGAGAAAGTTGACAGTGCATGGGCCCTCTCGTTCCCACTGCTCTGAAGGCAACCTCAGCTCTGTGTTAAGTGTTTCTGTGTGTAGGTCTGTTTCTTGGCTTCTTCTGTCCCATGGTCAATCTGCCAATCCCTATGCCAGCACAACCCTATGTCAGGGACCATAGCTCCAGAATTGGCTGGCTTTCCAGAAGGAAGTCCTCCCACTTTGTCCTTCTTTCATCCTTTTGTATATCCAGGTACATTTTAGAATCTGCAGGTCAAATTCAATGATTTTTTTTAAATCCCTGTTGGGATTCTGACTGGAATTTCGTTGAATTTGTATATCAATTTGGGGAGTAATGACATTTTTACATTGTCGAGTCTTTCTATCCAATAACTCCATTATTATCTCTGTTTCTCACAAGAACCTGTGAGAGTGGTGGGTACCTGAGGCTCAGCAAAGTGCCCAGCCACTGCTCTCTCATTCACACCTGAAGGAACTGTAAGAGGAGGCAGATCTTCTGATCCATCGTTAGAGACAGAGGACTTGAGGGGCACTGCTAGGAGTATATAACGTTTACACTGAAAGTCAGCCAACCAACCATACATGGTAACTATGGTCATCGT